GATCCTTATAGGATAAATAAGCTATAGGATAACCCTATAGGATAAATAAGCTGGAGAAGCTTCAGTTGTCCCCAATGAACTATACTGCAAAATATTTACTGCAATGCTTAAAGGCCGGGCATGAAAAAAAGAATTAGATTGCTAGGCACCCATTTCTTTCTCTGCCTAGTTCTCTGTCTAAACAGAAAAAGAAACGAACGTTGAGCAACCTATCATTTGTTTTCTTGCCCGACCTCTAAGCATTGCAGTAAGCATTCCAATATAGTACAGAGTTGTCATAGTACACTGGTTGTTCAATTGGGCTCCTCGATGAACGTAGGTGTAGTTTTTTAAATGCACTGCCACGATAAATACGCATTAATTATAAATTTAATGCGCATTTAATGCGCATTAATTAATGTACATTAAATGTACATTTAATGCGGGACAAATATGCGCTTTAAATGTGCATGTACAATTTGCATTTAATGCGAATTTTAATGCACATTTAGAGCGCATTATACGTGCATTGGCGCTTCTTGGGTAGCAAAAACTAAGCCAGAAGCATATATTCAGACGGTACTGATTGTAGTACAATTGAAAAGCGTCTGTTCTGACAGTACTGGTAAATTTAATACTAGAAGCATCGATTCTGATGGTACTACATATAATAAAAATCAGATGTGTCTTATCATGATACTAGTCATTGCAATTATTTGTATATTTGAATCGGGAGAGACGGAAAAATTTGATTGGTTGCGTTCTCACGAGAATGGGCGTTTGGAGGGGCTCATTTTATATTTTCCATATTTAAAATTGCGTATTGCGTTTTGCCTGTATGTACACATGTGTACATATGTATACGTTACATTTTGTATTATATAATGTTTTACACTTCCGTGTACATGCAGGGCTGCGTTCAGAAACATCACCCAAATGCCCTAGTGTATCATTTTATCCTTGTCTGTAAGCAACAAGGATAGAATGATACGCTGGGGTACTTGGGTGGTGTTTCTGAACGCAGGCAAGGGTGTCTGACAAGTAAGTAACCAATCGAAAAATGCAAATTGATTGAGTCAAACTGAGAAGATAGGCCAGATTAGGCAGGCCAAAGCATTTTATTTCTCAGATCTCTTAGCGACAGTGAATATCGATCGGCTAGCGAGACGTGCAGCAGTGTGTGACATGCCAAAAACAATTGTCATGGCAGCGAGCGGCACCGCGGCGAGCCTCAGATAACGAGGCGCGTGGACAATAGTTCCTCGATGTCTCGCGCGCGCGTAGTACGAGTATCGCCGAAAAAGTATTGTCGCGAAATTCTTTCTCTGCGGTAATGTAGAAATGGTCATGCAGGAATTAAAAATGTCGATAATTACCGACATTATCGATTTTTTTAATTCCGTTCAGATGAGGGCGCTATCCCGTCGGAGTTGGCCCGTCGCTCCAGCATCCCCTTAACGCGCGCACGAAATACATGTGTTTAAATTTATAGTTAAATTTTGTTTGATACGTCCTGACTTCTATAGTATTTTAAATCCTTGAAAATGAACGCAATCCGGTGGTCGAAACGTTGGATGTAACCTATTAATTAAATAATTTACACCATCTGCCACTTGAGTAGTTGGTCGTCTAATAATCCTCTCCCCTACATCTTATAATTATTTTCTCCGATTAAATAGGTGTGTAAGATATTGTTTGCTTCAAACGAATAAAAATTCATGAACTCAATTTCCATTTATTTAATTTAAATTAAAATTTTTCCCATTTTGACATCCATATCTATGTTATTTTCTCTTACCACCCTCCTTACAAGAGGTATTTAATTGTTTCATCTTTAAGTTTTATTCTGTCGTCATTTCTCACTGGATTTACTACATGTATGTATGTACATATGTATATCTGGCTTTTCTTTTTGGGACTTATTGTATTTGTAGACATTTTCGAAAACTGTTGGGATCTCTTCCTTGAGTAGTCGTGACATCTTCCCACCACAAATGGATTTATTATGATCCCTTCTTTCGTTCCCTCTTTCATTGATTTCACGTTCCACGACTTTTCTGGGTTCCGTCTTTGTGAAGGATAATCTTGAAAAGTCTTGAAAGAATGACTGTGTGTACGACATATCATTCAGATATTTAAAAATTTGAAGAATTTTGATATTTTTCTTGTCAACGTCATATATCTGTTCGTCTTGAATTCGTCTTATATTTTCAATAATTACATATGTTACTATACTGCGTCGCAAACTCAATGACGTTTTCTTAGTTATAGACCGATTTTTCGCATTATAGAAGTTATACATATAACCGATGATGTTATATAAAGTGCAATCTGCCTTTGATCTGCAATGTAAATTGCGAGTTATCTTAAATGTTACGTAACATCGCAATAACATATTTCAAGATAGGGTCAAGGTGAACTAACCTGCTATGTAATCCAGACATCGTTTTAAATCAGCTCTTTCCACAGAGCGAGAAAGATCATACTTTCTGTAGAAAGAGATCTGAATTCTTTTTACTTATTGAAAGAAACTGGAGAAGGCTCCATTTTTATGAAATAAACAGCTTTACGGTATAATATGGTAAATATTTAGATTAGGTCAGCCCCCGCAAATGACCTTGACCTTGACATAGTTTGTCAAGGTCTCCACATCAGCTTTTTACCCTTCCCTTCATAATCATTAGATCTAACCTTTCCCAAACCGTGTAAGGTGTGGAGTGGATCTCACTTCACGTGGAAAGTCAAAACCCAAGTGGAACAGTACAACGGTGGAAGTATGTAGCGTGGAGACAGTATGTTCCTCCTCCGCCCCTTCGGGGGACCCCACTTCATTAAGATATTACCTTACCCAAACCATGTCTGAGGTATGGAGTGGATCTTGCTTCACGTAGAAAGTTGCAAATTCATGTGGAATCGTATATGTAGGTAAAGTATATGCTTACAATTAGATGGGAGGACAGGTATAAAATTTAGAGTCCATCATTTTTCATCAAGTGCGGACGTAAATATGTTAGTAACTTTACAATTTGCCAAATAACTTTTTCGTGATGCAAAAACTACGTTCTACATTTTTAACTCTTACTTTTACGCGTAAAATCATCTTGGTTGCATTGTATTATATTACATATACTAAAACTCACATAATAATATCACTCTGTATACGAACTATCTTCACAGGTCTAGGAATATCTACATCTCAAATAAAAACCGTAACGTAACTTTAATCAACTTTTCCAATGTTTCAATCATTGTCGTCACATAAGAGTCGAGTTATAAAATATAGGCATACGTGTGAGCACTGTGGTTGCTGGGCTCGAATTGATTTGTTAGTCATGTCTTAGGAACAATACAAGGTGATATTGCGACTATACAGTTTTGATTACACAGTCATATATTACATTTAAATATTCGGTGTCTGTTTGAAAATTTAACGTGTTATCGGTTTCCTTGATAAAAAATATTTCGACAATTTCTCTTTTTCTCCTGAGGCGCTCGCTATGCAAAATTCTTGGTTTCAACCAATTGAACTCGTGATCATGTAATACACGGTGTGCACTACACACAGAGTGACAGCTTTCGTCTTTTTTTATGTCATTTCTATATTCTTTAATTCTGGTCAGTAGGTGTCGTTTCTTACGAATATTTACTGTAATATTAAAAGCTATTAATATCTGTAAAATCTACTTAAAAATGCATAAGTGTATTTAAAAAGGTTACGTTTTTGAGACCCAATATATAATACTTGAATTTTTTATTATACCCTTAAAAGTTTTCTAAAATAATTATATGTAATCTATAAACTGAATAAGAACCAATAAAAACAGGACCAATAAAAAAATTTGGTTACCGTGATGACAGACTTACAGATGATTCCAATATGACGCTTTACAAAGTTTGTTTTCGAAATTGTGTTGAAATTGCTTTATGCTTATGATACCTTCTAAGATTTACCATTTCGAAAATGGTCGCATTTAGGATACTAAATAACAATTAATGAGCCCACTTTGTAATTCTGTTACAGCTTGTGCATGTTCTACTTTGCGACAAACAGGATGTTGACGTCTTCAATGTGCAATTTTTCTTTTTTCAATATATCTCACAAATTACAATTCTACGTAAAAAAGCAAAAACCATATTTTGCATACGTTAAATATATCTTTGCATGTGTATATATATATATATATATACAATTAAATAAGCGGAATATACCCACACGCAAAGCGATGTTTTATTGTAGAACAGAAGAGTTAAGAATCTTAAATGTTTTATTAAAAGTTACGTAAATTCTGTTGATATAGATAAAACAGATAAAACATACAGAAAAAGATACACTTAAGGTCGCTCGGAGTAAAACCGCGTTAGTCATCGAGTAGTAGTAGAGAGTGTTACGTCCATTTATTAAATGTACCTACTTGTAAATAAGTTCCATAAAGAATGTGTGTAATAATCGTATAATAATTTCAAGCTTCTAGATTTCTGACACATAGAATATATAATATACACGTCACACATTTTCTTTGTATACAATACGTATACGCATACAATTGATGCATTATTAATTATAAAAAAATGCATATGTTGGAAAATTGCGTATATCTTATTGTAACGTAGTAAAACATGATATTGTTTCATTTATATGGTCTTCTCGTGATTAATTGAATCGGTGGAAGGGCCTGGAAATAAAAAGAAGCAAGTATACTTTCGTTTATGTTTTATATCAATTTTAAAATGCAGAGAACATTAAACGTTAGTTTTAATAAAGTCCAGCAGATATTTTTTTCAAAGGATTGAATAATTCAGTGACATACAACTGTTTTCAGTGATAATGCACTGATTGACGTTCAAAGAATATGTATAAAGGCGTGTAGGCAAGGCATTGTCTAAACCAATAGGTACCAACAGTGCGTCGAAAAGCAATAAAATAGTCAATGTGTAATAACATTAATTACACTTAAAAAAATATAATATAATATTCCAAAAAATATTTTCCTATTAAAAATGACTAGTGAATTCTATTCTTACTACTTTTTAAAAAACTAGTCACTGAAAAAACATTTGTTACAGTTTGATAGGACTGACATCATCAATTCGCAGACGCAGAATGTTGCAGCAAAACATGGTGGTTGTAAAGAACGCTGTGAAGCGTTATGGGAAAGAAGAGTTGGTGCTCGACGGATTGAATATGACGGTTTCAAACGGCTCCATGTAAGTAACCATTCTTTCTCTTGTCAGCACAAAATATTATTTTCTTCCTATCTATGTCCGTTTAGACGAATAAAGTTGTACATAACTATCCTGCATTTATCAAGTAAACTTTAGATACTCGCTATAAGAAAGAAAGCAACGCAGTGAAGATTGCACTTGCTATTTATTAATACTTGAGACTACTTGAGCGAATATTAATATTATTCCACAAACCTGAACCTACATCCAACATGTTTTTTATGGATAACTGATGCTACTTTCTTAATCTTTTTTGGAAATTGCATGAACTTTTATTGGTCACACACTTTCTCGCATACATTCACCAATCTTAGATTGTCATCTGTGTTTCACCAAGTGTGTGGCGAGCGTGGCACAGAGAAATGTGCGCTGCTTAGTAAATAAACGGTCCGAGTTCAAATCCAGCGAGGACACCGCTGGTATTCTCAGACGCCACTTCTCGAAAGAGAAGTGGCAACCACCGAGAGAATCTCGCCACACATGCCCCTTTAGCAGCTAACGAGAGGGGGACCGAGAGGATTGCCGCTATAAGCAACCAACCCGCTTGCTGGATAGGGCACTCTCTTGTCCTGAGAGGTGAGAAATCACCCTCAAAGGCGGATGATCTATTTAAAGTAGTCAACGACATAGGATCAGGCAGGCAAGGGGAAACCACCTGATTATTTTCCCAAGACAGCGCCTCATGTATGTATGACTCTTCGAGAGCCAACTCATGAGACGCCACCACGCCCTGTCAAGGGCAAAGGATTGAGAAGGAGAGATTGTCATCGTTTGCAAAAAGTAAACTCTTTGGGGATTTATAAGTATTATTATAATTTCATATGGAATTTCTGACAATGAGTCTTGTCTTTAGAATTTCTATAGCATTTAAATATATTTGTTACAAATAAAGTCTAAGAAAATATGTAGAAAGTGAGTGCCAATGTGATCCACAAAATGAACGGAACTCGGTTCTCACAATACAGAAACAAAATTTCTCTTTAATAGCATAAACGTTTCAACCCTTCTTCGGGTCTTCCTCAGTAAAACTACAATGAGATCATCGAGTGTACAGGATGAGAATATAGTAAAACTTATGATACAGATTGGTTCAACAATAATAATCAGTTACCTCGTTTAGACCGAATAAAGCATATTTTAGGGGGTCAGAGCACTATGTAACATCAAAATCATTCCTCTGTCCGCGTTAATATCAGTGAATCTCTAAATATTCCCAGACATACAGAGGACTGAATAACTCATGTCGACAGAGGGATGAATCCGAAACAATGGTGTTAAAACGACTGTGATACAGCAATATCGACCTGGTGAAACTTAATAATAATGAAGTGTGGTAAACGTGTCTTTCGTGGAAACCTGATGCTAATTGCTTCATCTTTTGTTGGAAATTGCATGAACTGTCGGTCGTCACGCATTCCCGCGTACATTAACCAATCGCTTAAATTGTCATCGTTTGCAAAATACGAAATTCTTTGGGGATTTCTAAGAATAGATATAATTTCATGTGGGATTTCTTGGTATTGTGTTTAGAATTTCTATAGCATATTTATATATTAGCTAGGTCTAAGTTCTAAGATTTTCTTGGTTTTCTGGAAGTGATGGGAAGGGTTAAGAAAGCGGGATATGGAAAAAAGGTATACCTACAGCTGCTCTGTATTGCAGGTGCGCACTCTTATATACGGGTCATTCCATATCAGATTTACAATCAAAATTTTGATTCGCCTGAAAATTTTTTTTCTCGTTCTAGAAAGGAAAAAAATAACACGTATTTTTTTTAATATGATATGTAAATTTTCCAAGTTATTGATTTTTTTATTTTTAAAGTGCAAAAAATTTTTTTTTCAATAATGCTTCTACTATTCAACGAAGAGTATAGAATACATGATTAAAATATGCCATGGGATCTACTATTAAGTCCATGCTTTGATGAAAACTCAGAAACGGTATTTAGTACTTTCTATGCAACAATTAAATAAACAAATGGAATTATCTCAAAAGGGACCTCTTTGAATTGAATCATTTTTTATGTAATTTGTTCGTTAAGTACACAGAACTCTGTGTCAAAATTTGGGAGTGGACCGTTGAATACTTTTCGAAAAAAAAATTTTTGTGTGTGACCGCGCGCTTGGAGCGCGCAACGCGAAGCATAGAGTCGAGCGCACTCAAATATTTGTAAGTGAGTCTACGATATTCCGATGAGGTTTTTATGCAGTTTTCACAAATAAAAGTCGGTAAATAATGAAAAGTCTTCTGAGAAAGAAACACTGTTTAATTCGAAAACAGTCATGTAATTTATTAACAATGCAGTTTTACATCCAGTACTTTCAAAAAAATGAAAATTGAATTGTTGAATGTTTCGCAGGTTTTTTTACTTTTTTCGAGAATTTTTTTTTTATATATGTATTTTTAAAAATATGTAAAACTGCATTGTTTATAAATTATATGACTGTTTTCGGGACTTCCGGTTGCGAGGTAAGAGCGAGTAGAGGTGCTTGATAGCGGCATAGACTTCTATAGACGGACCCTTTGTACGAGGGGTAACTGATAATCGCGGTAAGGGGATCACTCGTCTGACTTCGACTCTTTCCGGTGAGATTCGGTAATATTCGGTTCACATTTCCAATACGTGTGCACACGTCCCCTCCAATCATCCCCTCCAACTTGGAGTGGGGATGATCCGTTCGGTCACGCGCGCGCGCACGCTCGCACACAAGCAACGCGCCGTATACAGGGTGTCTGGTGCAAAAGTAGCAACTTTGGAAATAGCGGTAGATTGGGTTAAACTAAGGAGAAATATCATGTACCGAGGTACAAAGTAATAATAGTTATCGACATATAAATTTATACGTTTGAGCGAATGAGGATGCAGGAGACGGTAGGCCGGACTCGGGAGGCATTTAAGAAAATCGATCGATGAGCGGGAGGTGGAGCGACGCGCGAGATACACCGTGGTGGGAAAAAACGTAGGTGCGGCGGGGAGCGCGGCGCGGGCGGCGAGCGCGGCAGCGAGCCGCGAGCGGCGAGGAGCGCGGTGCGGGCGGCGA